GCACCGAATTATAAGGCGCAGTATCAGTTAACGGTAAATTTTCATACTTTTTTCATATATAAGGCTGCGTTTAAAGGCTACGCCGATCCATGAAAAATGTTTGCAAATTGAGCACCTGCCAGTAAACCCCGCAATCGCGCGATTTCGTTAGTAATTTGTTTGTTTGCGAAAGTTGCGCGCGGATGAATGTTGCAAAAAAAACGTGCGGCTTATAACCCGGTGCGCCTTATATATGAAAAAAGTTTGAAAATTTACCGTTAACTGATACTGCGCCTTATAATTCGGTGCGCCTTATGGTCGTGAAAATATGGTAGTAATAGCAAAATTGTCATGAAAATAGAAATCACTGTCACTACACATTGTTTTTTTGTAACTAATGGCCTTGTTTCATTTTATATTTCACACTGAAGAATATGAATTCTTAATTATGAATATGCTATGATAATGAATATGCTATGCACAAAAGTGATGCCCACTTGAATTGGGCTATACATTCTTTTTTTAATGTAATTTAAGCTGGTGCATATTTTTCATAACATCAGCTACAATAAAATTTTTCAGCCTTCTAATAAAGGCTGAATGCTATGAATAGTATCTGAAATGATACTGAAGTAAATATATAAGAATCAACCATGGGATTCAAATACAAATATAAAGATTAAGAGGTCTAGAATTTTTAGAGCATTTTAAGTGTTCTAAAATTAGCTATGTTGATTTCATTTACCACCAAAGATTTTTATGATTTAGTACAGTGAATAACAATATACATTAAAATTACATATTGTTACAGTCAGTGTCATGACAAAGTACATCAACACTGCCTTTGACATATTTCCTCTAAAGGAAAACATGTGATTGGACGAAAATCATAAAGAAAAATGATGCTCTTGATGGGTACATTTTAACACATTTAAACATGTGTGGAACTGTTATTTATAAAACTTGTGGGGGGGGGGGAAATCAATGTTATTACAATGTGGATTCAGCTAAGGTTTTCCTATATTAAAGTCCTCCTATTCATCATCCTTCGAGCCCGTTTTGCTCAGCTGTAAAAAGACAAAAATAATTTTATCAGTTTTCTGTGACAATAAAGAACAATTAAAATCCATGTGACAATTTTATTATAGACCACTGAAGTTTGTAAAATATTTTTTTTTATTTACAGACTGGGTCTTCATACGTGAAATTAAAAAAAGATTTGTTTTTCTTTGAGTTCTCATGTATTTAGCTATCTGTAAAATGAAGAGAAGTGAGACAAAATAATAACAGAAAGATATATTAGACAAATATTGGGGGAAAATATCATATGCTTTGTAGGCAGTTCTGTATTTTTTCTTAGATGCATTTATACTGAGAACACACAACTGTTGCTATTTTCATCATACCGTGTTTCCCCGAAAATAAGAGAGGATCTTATTTTCTTTTGACCCCCGAAATAAGCGCTTGGCCTTATTTTCGGGGAGGTCTTATTATTTTTGAGGTGCAGGTGGTGAGCAGGGTCACCTCATGGCTACTGCTATGTTGCAATATTTTTGGGCAGGGCTTATTAACTGGGGAAGTCTTATTTTGGGGGAAACAGGATAACGTTATTCTATTGGGTTGTGTCCTACATAGTATAAGTTCGCGAAATTGTAGTATACAAGTTAGAGTGTCTGCTATTCTTAATGAACCCCTTTATGTCCTGGATCAGCAATTGAATACAATTGTGATATAGCTAAGGAACAAGATGGATGTTTTAGATGAAAAATAGTGTTACTAATTTTTATATAATTATTAAGCTACTTATTTCTTTTATTTGTACTAAACACCATACAAACATAAAAAGGTATTAACATGTTTTTTTGTAAATGCTTCTGAAATGCAAACAATAAGCTTATCAGAAAAACCCTTGATAAGCTGTAAATATGGGTTTTCTGCCAAAATGGGCATGGCTATAGGTGATATGGCTTCAGTTGAAGAACAAAGAGACTAGGAGGCGTGATAAACTAGAATATGCATATTGGATTGGTAACAGATAGTTTTCACTTTAAAATGGTAATTGGGAGTAATACTTCCATTGCTAAGTGTCATACAGCATGTCACATGACTACTGATTTAAATGGCAATTGTACCAGTTTCAGTAGAAATCATTAGGTAAATCCTGCAGGATTGTAGTGTCCCACAGTCACATGATCCCCATTTGCGGGATCCTGTCAGCTTCCCTGTTGATTTTGCTTGTTGAAAGCGAGCAATGAGGTTTATAAATGCCAATCACATAACCACAGGAAGTTTTGACTGTTTTTAATTGCAAGCTACTTGCCAACTACCCAAATTATAATTATATGATAATGGGGAGGTTGCAATAGTCACAACTATGAAGAACAGTTGTTAAGCTCCCTCATTCACCACTGCTGTTACTTTGAAAGGTTTTTGAAAGAGAGGTTGCTGAACAATGGTATCTGTATGGAACTTTTAAAATCCTAATGCATGCAAACATGTATTTTTAAAAAATGCTTAAGATACTCTTCAGGATACTCTTTTCAATGGATTCCAAAGGCAATATGGATACTTGGAACTAACTCCTTCCTCCTTTTTCTAAATTAGTCTTTGAAATATGAAGAATACAATGTGACTTCTGAGGGACAACAACTGTATAAGTTGGGCCCGTTTGTGCTTTTTAGGGAGTTGGAGAATTTGTTGAAACTCTTTGGCTTTGCTCTCAATTTTTTTTTAACTGATTTGAACCAGTAACTGATATAAATGTGAAAGGAAATTGCTGCCTATTTTGCATTCAACTGCCTTTATACTACAATTATCTAGTTTTAATAATCCATTTGTAAAAATCATAAAACAGTTATATTATTTTAATTTCATTATTGCATACTGTATGAGATTTGCCTCAGATTTAGTTGAAAACAGTTGTAGCACTCTTCTACAGAATGATATAGATTGTTAGTGCTTAATTAAATATTTATATTTTTTTCTTGGAGTACAAGATTTCTGAAACACTGATCAAGACAAAAAAACACCATACAGGTATCAATGCTAGAAATGGTTTAAAAAGATTGAAATACTTACATGCTTTATAAAAACACGAGGAAAATCCCATTATCATTCATATCCAAAATGGTTAAAAAAAGAAAAAAGAAAAAAAATTAGATACTGCTAAAATCTCCCCCAAATTACCATTTTGATATTGTTAATTTTCAACACCCTTACCTTGATTACGTCAACCCAATTCCATCCTCGAGGAAGTTCTCCTTTGTGATCTAGTAAAAATAAAAATTCTGTATGCATTTCTGCAATTTGAATTCAAGCATCTGTTTTAAAATCAAGGTATTAATTTATATCATAGTTTGTGTTTAAGCTTAAAATAGCAAACTCTGGCTTATTGCTAACTGTCATGAATAACTGGGCAATGCTTGGCAGTGATGAGGAAGAGAACTTATGGCCCTCCAGATGTTTCTGAATTTTAACTGTCAATATCCCTGACTATTAGTCATGCTGATAGTTCTGGTTCAGCGACATAAATTCCACAAAAGAATAGAATTCATTACTATTCTGAAACAAAGATTACTGAGAAATACCTATTGTGCACAAAAGTTCAGCATAAATCACAATACAGAGAAAAGGCTGTATTTGCTATATTCTATATAAAGGTAAAGGTTCCCCTTGCACATATATACTAGTCGTTCCCGACTCTAGGGGGCGGTGGTCATCTCCATTTCAAAGCCAAAGAGCCAGTGCTGTCCGAAGACGTCTCCATGGTCATGTGGACAGCATGACTAAACGTCGAAGGCGCACGGAATGCTGTTATCTTCCCACCAAAGGTGGTCCCTATTTTTCTATTTGTATTTTTACATGCTTTCGAATTGCTACGCGGTCAGAAGCTGGGACAAATAACAGGAACTCACTCCATTACACAGCGCTAGGGATTCGAACTGCCGAACTTTCTGATCGACTAGCTCAGGGTCTTAGCCACTGAGCCACCACGTCCCTTATATTCTATATAGAAAACATATATTCTATGCCATACTCTTTTAATTAAAAGAAAGTTATTAGGAATAAGTTATACAAACCTGTTTTGTCAGCTAACTTCCGCTTTTGCGTTTTGGACAATTGTTCCTTTTTCTCCTTTTTTTTAGTTGGTGGTGCTGCATCAGAATGTCCAGTTGAGATGCAGTTATTTAATGCTGTCTAAAGAAATGAATTGTATTATTTATTAAGAATTTTCTGTGGTTTATTAATTCTATACTTGATATTTGCATTAAATGGGATGAAAACTGATTACATCTGTGCTTAAACCTTTCTGTTGTCAATACAATTTTTTTTTGTATGATAGAATACGAAATAACTTTAACCACTGCTTCTGGGATATTGGAATTATATAGGAATGTCAAACATTGCTACGAATTGAATTCAATCTTATAGTAGCAACTGAATATCAAGAAACTGATAGATTGCATAGAAAAACATTTTCATATGTTGAGATAGGTCAACATTTGGAAATATAAACTCACCACAGTATTAACTGGTTGATTTTCCATGAAAATCTCTTTATTATCTTTAGCATATTCAAATATTGTGTATGTCATTGAGGTTCCCAGGTTAACTTCAACTTCTTCCATTAATTTATTCAATATACTTTGTTTTATGGCTGAGGATCTGGGGCAGATGACAAAGAAGAGATAAAAAGTTAATTCTAGAAAGACTGCTTCTTGAACGTCTTAAGAACTGGACCACTTACATGGCATTGTTGAAGAATGCATCCATTGATATGACTGGAGCAGTTTGTGGGTATGTTTCTGGCCATGATATTTCTATAAGAAAGGCTTTGGGGTCTCCACTTTCACCAATCTAAAAACACATATAAGTCATGTCTCTGCAGGAATCCAGTCAATTCAAGCTTTAATCAACAAAAATACTGAAATAGATATTTCATTTTTACATTCAATGTCAATTTTAGAAGGAATTTTCAAGTAGTGTTATATGAGCATTACGAATACAAATATGACTTCACCAGAATCCACAAAACAGATTACCGCAGTAAATGTGGCAAAATATAAATTTAATAAATTATGATTATATAAATGATCAGCAGAACCTTTCTACTATATTATACTCCATTTTCATAAACTATGAACCAGTATCTTTATGTCTAGATATATTAAGAAAATTAGTATACCCAATCTGAAAAACTTGTGTAAAACTTGGTATATAGTCTTGAGCTCTTCCTTTTTATATAACTAGTATGCCTTGGTGTTGTAGCTAAACTACAAACTGTCTTAAATATTTATACAGGAAGTCCTTGCTGAACAATCACTCATTCAGTGACCCTTCAAACTTCCAATGGCATGGAACAAATGGTATTTACAACTGATCCTTGTACTTCGCAGCATCCCTGAGGTCATGTAATCACAATCCAGGAGCTTGAGTCACAATTATATTGTATTATCTCGCAATCACATGATCGCTATTTGTACCTTCTTTACCAGCTTTCTACAAGTGAAGTCAAACTGGCAGGAGGTTGCAAATAGCAATCACATGGCATTGCACTTAACATTGGTGAATCCATTTACTCGCAACCAGAAGTGCTGGAATTTTCATTGGTAAATGCTGTGCTCATGAGGCTTCATGTTTTACGACCATGTTGCTTAGCAATAGAAATTCCAGTCCCAATCACCGTTGTTTAATGAGACTACTTTGATAAAGACAGAATCTTAAGTTTAAGAGATTAATATAGACTGATTTGAATTAATACAATTTCTAAAAACTCACCCTATATTGAAATGAAATGGGACTAAGTTCCCTAAAACATTCATCCCCTTCATAAATAGAACGTAATGCTTCCAACTCCATCTGAAAAAAAGCACAAGCAAATACTTCATATTTTTATGTTTAATTTTAATCTTAAACTCTTCTGGGAGTTCTATAAACCACTCAACCAGGCATGATTGGATCAGTATATATGCTTAGTAAAATATTTAAAATAAATAAACAATATCTGACTGAATATAATCATCACATTTAGTAGTTTTTACAAATATTTAAAAACATCTTAAAGAACTCTATAATCCTAGGAAGCTAACCATGCTATATATGTTACATATAAATTTAAAATGTACATTTTAATGGGGGATGTCATCTGCCATAAAGTATAATCAGTAGCATTGGTTTTAAAAAAGACTGAAAGCAACCAGAAATTGCTTTTTGCAATGCATGAAAAATTACCTACAAAAACATAGTGTATAGAGCTCTAGAAAACTCTAATTTCCTAAAAAAAATGATCTTAGCTACATTAGCGCAGCATCACAAATGCACAAATGTCTGGGTTTTATGGAGCCATCCTTAGTACAACCATGGAGTAGAAAGGGTCCATTTAGACCAGTGTTTTTTCAAATTTGGCAACTTTTAAAATGGATGGACTTTAACTCCCATGATTCTCCAGTCAGCATGTTAAAGTGGCCAAGTTTGAAAAACACTGGTTTAAATTGTCCAATCCGAATTCTGCTGAAGGAAGCCAAACCAGGGTTTCGTGCAACGGTGGTGCTGATGACCCTATCAAAACGTCGCGGTTACCCCGTCGTCAAAGCTCCCCCCGTGTGGCACTAGCGCTTATTTGCAACACAGGCAAACACTCCACAAGTATAGAGCTTTCTTCCCTCTTATTTCTGATCCTCTACACAGCACGTCTTGCCCCCCATCATCACCCCGGCAGCTTCCACAATAAGACCCAGGGAGGGGCTGGCCTTTCCTGGCCACGCCCCCTCAAGGGGCGGTCTTCACGTAGCCCAGGACGTTTTTACTTCTTCCATTCCCGGATCCTGCCAGTGTATTCCACACTTTCATCTCCCTCACCTCTTGGTCCTCGTTCGCCGTCATGGCGCAACACCGGGAAAGGAGACCCCCACCCCACCCCTCTTCCGGTCTCCTTTCGCTCTCTCTCCCCTTCCGCGGTCTCCTGGGAAAAAAAATTCCACAGAATTGTCAGTCCGAGAGGGAATCACGCACAGCAGATCAATACAGAAGATAGTCCTCAGTGCGCATGCGCCAAAAATGACAAGGCGGAAAGGGAGTCAGGCGTAGCGCACTTCAGCGGTGATTGGACAGTGTGACCCTCCTCCTTCCCCCAGCTGTCTATTGGCCGCTTCTTTTCACCCTACCTTCTGATTTGCACGTTCTTTACCTTAGACTGGAGCAAATCTCGGTCGGTTCCGCCTCTTTGTTTCTCCTTCTTTTCATTTGCCGCTTCACGGCACTTTAGCTCTGCCCATCTCCTAGCGCGTTCCAATAGTTGGCGCCAGGCGCTCAGGAGCCACCGTGCTTATTGGTCATTTATGGCTATCAATCTTAATTCGCCTGCTAGGTGTTTCCTCAGACAGGCCTCGGGTTTCTGTTCCGAGTGTTCCTCTGCACCCGCTTCTCGTATGGATTGTGTCGCTAAAGGCTGACGGCGAGGTGCTCCTTCCATACCCGGGGAGGTCGTAGTGCAGGTGCGAAGCAGCGGAACTGTGAACGGGGTCGCAACGGAGCTTGCAGCGTGAGCAGATCCTCCTAGGCAAAGGAAACAAGGGGCGGCGGCGGCTGAGAAATAGATTCAAATTGTATGCAGGACATTCTGTCATTGTTTTTCGGAAAGCATTTCGGTCTCATAGGGGTGCCTCATTTACGCGGAACCTGAAATGGAGACTTGAAGATTTTAATGAAAGCAGTATACGTTCAGACTTAGTTATACTTATTAAAATAAATGACACTTTAATCAGAGATGACGGAAGACCTATTAAGTGCATTGGACTGGTTTTGAGCATGAATGTAGCCTAAATTTATTTAATTGCCTAAATTATTTCTTCCTGAGGAATAGAATAAATCACTGTTTGCTGGAAAATATGCTAACCCGTCAACCGTAATTTGCGAATCATAGTGTTGGCCTTCATGCAGTAGAAAAGCAAAAAAATGTTCTTGCTTTATATAACGTGTAAACCCCCTCAATGTGTTTCAGCCTGTATTGAATAGCCTGCATGACTGCCATTACTATGCAATAAATGAATGCAAAACAATGTATTAATGTAAAATGAAACCAAATAAACCAAAAGAATAGAAATATGGTTTGGTGATAAATCTGAAAATAGGCTGCCTTTTTCTGCCTTAGAAGGTTTATTGATTTTATTTTATGGCCATGGTTTCCCAAATCTTGAAAAATTACTGAGATATAAGTGTATTATGGATATTATAAATGTAACCATATTTGACATGAATAAGTAGGACTCCTTAATAAATTTATTTGAATGTCTTTACAGTTCGCAGGTGAGTAATTTTTCCGAAGGCCCTCCAGATAACCTCAGGAATACCTATAAACTAGGCTGTGGCCTAAGATTGAATTTTTTTTCTACCTGGTTCAATTTAGGGTTAGGGCAAACAATATTGCAGTGAAATGTCTAATAGAATCTAGAATTATTCAAACTCCCAAACTTTATACCTTGCTGTACAGAAAAGCCTGAATTTATTTCTGCTTGTCACATGTTTAAAGAAGAACAACTTTAAATATTCTACATATTACAATATTTATAAATAAAATTATTTTGAATATTTTTCTGCTTAAAGTTTCAGAGTATATTTGGAACTGTCAATATGAGCCCTTCACAGTGGGATTTTCCAGTGGAACTATGTTGCCGACCCATGGCCTTTGTTGCACTCACCGGTTTGGATGTTGTATATAATGCTGTTCATCGAGCTGTCTGGGATGCATTTTGTGCAAATAGGAGAGCAGACAGAGTACCAATTTCTTTTAAAGTACTTCCAGGTGATCATGAATATCCCAAATGCAGAGAAAAGGTATTACCGTAAATCTTACAGTAAGAGTTAAAAATCATACTTTAAGTTTATTTTACTGAGATTCAAATGTTTAAATTCTGGTTTTGACTATTAATCTTTTTCCAGTGTCATTTTGGAATTAACATTGGTAAAGTAATTCTTTCAAAAGAAAAGGTAGATTTATAGTTAAAGTAAAAGAAACCTAACACCTTAAATAGGCTGGAAACTTTCTCTGATTATGACCTAAACAAAACATACTGTTGATGTGCAGCTATATTAAATCAAGCTGAAGAAATAATGCAACATAATTTTAAACCAGCTTCATTAGGAATAAGTTTAGCAAAACACATGTCGTACATTTGCATGTTATGATATAAATGATAAGCAGGGAAGAAAAATAGAGAGAGCTAGCTCTTAGTGTAAACTGGGAGACTATAGATTTTTGTCCTACCTTAAGCATGAAACCAGCTGTGTATCAGTCATTGTCTCTTATCTCTAAGAAGAAAGCAATGCCCAATGACTTCTGAAAATTTGCCAAGAAAAATATAAAGATTAGTCCAGGCAGTCATCAGGTGTCAATGTTTACTTAAAGGGACAAAAAAAAATGCCATCTGTCTGCAGTAGTGATGATACCATTTTTCAACTTTTCAGAGAGTGACATATGAATGGTACATTCCAAAGGGTATCCTGAAAACAGGTTGGATGAACAAGCATCTGAATTTGGTTCCTGCGCTTGTTGTGGTATTTTATGAGCTAGACTGGGATGAGCCGCAGTGGAAAGAAAAGCAATCAGAGTGTGCTACTAGAGTTGAAATTGTCAGGTATTATTTTATGTATTCTATAAAGTACTGTTTTACAGTAATACTAAAGAGTGAAAGAAGATATAATTCACACTTTTCTGGTTTTAGCATAGAAGATGTTATCTATCTAAATCAGTGTTTTTCAACCACTGTGCCGCGGCACACTAGTGTGCCGTGACATAGTGTAAGGTGTGCCGTGGGAAAATTACTTTATATATAGTCAATATAGGCACAGAGTTAATTTTTTTAAACATTTTCTAATGGTGGTGTGCCTCGTGATTTTTTTCATGAAAAAAGTGTGCCTTTGCACAAAAAAGGTTGGAAAACACTGATCTAAATGCTTCTTTAAAATAAAAGCTTTACTATGGTTAAAGCACATTTCAACTAAAAAGTCTTATACTGCAGTTCCTTTTTAGAATCTAAGTGGCAAATAAAACACCAATTTTTTAGTCTTGTGAAGTTTTTACATCTGTATATTTGTTATTACCCATCTGAAATAACAAATAAATTTTAGTTTGTTAAGTCTTTATAATCTTTGGTTAGCTTGATGTCTTATTTTTTTCAGGCAGAGTTTGCAGGGCCGAAACACAAAAGTTGCTGTAGTTTTAATTCAGAAGAAAACTCCCTTACCTCCAGGTAAAATACAGTTTAACTAGAGTTGTGTGACTGAAACATGCTAATGTAAAAAAGAATTGTGGAATGTTATTCTTGTTTAGTGACCAAAAATATGAGCAGTAAAAACAGTTGGAAATGGTTGGAATCCAGTATTCATCTTCCACTTATGAAATTTTTGTCAATGAAAGCAGGACACTTTCCCCTCAATAAACCAAGAAGGATTGTCCTGGATGATTGGATATTCTTAGAAACAGATTTGTAGAAGTTTGCCCCATTGCATTTTTGACATTCAAAGCAGTTCTGTTAAGGGCAGAAAAGACTAGATGTGTTAAAATAAACAGGAACTTTTTGTTTATAATTCAACTACAATTTGTAACTGATATTTTTGCAGTACAATTTTACTTGTTAGGAATATTTAATACAAGAAAAGATATAGATACAAGATACATCTAGGAAATATTTTAATAAAGCCTTTGGTTACGATTAGAGTCTGCAATATAGAAATTCATGGAGGAAAGATTTTTTCTTCTTCCTTTTGAAAATGCTTAATTCATTTAAAGAGCTGTCCGTCAAGCCAGTTGCTCTCAATTGTTTTACAGCAATTGTTAACATCGGAAATTTGGATCAATCTGGACATAATTATTTGCTATAGTCTGAAAGCCATCAGTCTATAAAATGGATCAGCCTTTCCTATGGAATGAATCAGTTAATTATTTCAGCTTTTGCATAATGAATAAAAAAGTTAACAGCTGGAAAGAAAATAAGCAAGCTCAGAGAGAACCAAGGACCCCTCATTTCAACCCTGAACTACAGATATTTGCCTTTAATGATTACAGCTGTGTGCAGAGGAGCAGTAATTCTGATTCTAGTGGAGTGGTTGTAGTCAGAGTGGAAGGAGAGGCATTCAGTCTGGATTGCCATAGGGCTGATCCCTTCCTGATTTTACTATCTCAGATGATAAGATATCATCAGTACTTATAGTACTTGGCTATACAACTCCAGACTGAATGGGAGATACAGTGGAAGTCTTGACCTTGTGTTTGGAAGTTAATATGGGTTTGAAAGGGGAGGAATAAATTAAAAACCAAACAGCTGGCTATTATTCTAAAAGCCAACTGATTACAAGACAATTCCAGTTTTACTTGTGATTAGGCTTGTGATCTTCCAAAGTAAGATGAGTCATAATTTGGTAACAATTTATGCCAGATGAAGAGATGCAATGTGTGCTCTAAGGACTTTTGCTCAATTTGGGCTTGTATTCCAGTTAAGATCATTCCTGGAGTGAGAGACAGTAGTAATAGCTACTCATATCTTTACTCCTCATGCCTGGATTATTGTGATTTCCTTTACATAGGACCACCTAGAAATGACAGGTAGTGCAACATGCAGTGGCCTGCATATGAATGGAACTGTTTTGATATTCCTATATAACGTATGTTGTGGGAGCTGCATTCATTACCAGTTTCTGTTTTCTGCGTGCAATTCAACGTGTTGCATGTCTTAGGACTTGGATATCTGTTAGACTGCTTGGTTTGAGTAGAATTTGCCCTTCTGAGGTATACAGAGAGAGAACATTTATTAAAAGGTATTTGTTCTCTGCTGAAGGTCATATCTTATGCAGTTAGATACCCTTCATCCTATTTATTAACATTTATATGTTTTGTAGATTAGTTAAATTGGCTCAATTGAAGAGGCATAATCTCTTATTATTACTTGTAAGAAATAAATTGAGACAAAACACATCGACATTCCTTGAAATGGTGATGCTGATACTTTTGATAATCATGTTGATTACCAGTGATTCTATGTACTGTTTTCTTCACATTTTTTTGATCTTGTATGGCTGTTTTCAGTGTCATTGTTTCCTAAATTCATCATAATAAAGTTTGTGAATATTTGAATTAAGATCATTCAAATCATTTTTAATGTGCTTGTCTGTATTTGCTTTAGGAGAAGATGTTATTGCTTCAGAAAGGGCAGCAGCTTTATGTAATGTTTGTGACCTCTCCGGAAAGTCCCTATTTGTTTTGCCACACACTGATCATCTTGTAGGTTACATTATAAGGTAAGCAGATAATGCAAAATATAGGCTTACCATATTTTCCGGAGTATAAGACGCACCAAGGTTTTGAAGAGGCATATTTTTTAAAAAAGTTTTTACACTCTGCAAACCTCCCAAAACGGCCCGTTTTCCATGAGAACGGGTGTAGTTTTTTTTTTTTTTAAAGGGCATGAATAGTCCTTAGGAGGCTTATGGAGTGCTCCTGGGGGATGAGGGGGACAAAAACGAGCAAAAAACCTGCCCGTTTTTCGCAAAAATGGGCCCATTTTTTTTGTCAAAAAAGGGCATTAGGAAGCTTATAGTGTGCTCCTCGGGGTGGGGGTGGGGCAAAATTGAGCAAAAAAGACCAATTTTTTGCTCATTTCTGCCCTCCCCGCCCCCCAGGAGCTCTCTGAACTCTTCCTACAAGCTATGCACGACCATTTTGGTGAAGGGGCAGAGTTTTAGGAGGCAAAAAAAATGCTGTATTCAGTGTATAAGACGCACCCAGGTTTTCAGCCTCTTTTTTGAGAGAAAAAGGTGCATCTTATAGTCCGAAAAATACGGTACTTCTTGAGAGGCAGAAATCTTTGTTGATATCCTTAGAAGTATGCTGGTATAATTTACTGTAATGTAATTGGTATAACAATGCCTTTCACAATTTAAAATAACTTTTTACTGACATAAAGTGGTACTAGGAACTCCAGAGCCCCAAGATTATTCGATCAAAATTAAGTAGGAAAAAAGATCCCTCTCCATTTTTTGGGCAATTTAATTTTGTTAAGGGAAAAGTTAAAACAGATGTGTTAAGTTGCTGTTACTTTTATTTTTTTCTGAATCCTACTCAAATGTCATTTCCAAGCTTACATGTTTAGGTTATTACAATTAAGCCCTTACGTCCCTCAGTGATTGAAGCGGGAAAAAGGATGAATACCTTGCCAAAAATATACTTGGATCTAAAACATTTTCAGCTAGAGGCATTTATGAATTTTTAAAATGTTTATTATCTGTTTTTATTTTGAAGTAAAGGTTAAAATACAAAACTCCAAAAAATAAAAAAGGAAAAAATCCACAAAACAATCAAGATTAAAAAAGAAAAAGATGCACAAAAAGGCATATTATATACATATATTACCCTCCCCCAATTGAATAATGATTAATACATTACTATGAATTAGAGGAATTTGGTAAAGTTGTAGGCTTAAAAATAAATAAAAATAAAACAACGATGATTACTAAATATCTGACATAAAGGCAAAATAAGGAATTAAGAGAATTGGAAATGCAAATAGGTAAAAAGGGAAAAAAATCTTGAAATCTGGCTAACTGCTAAATGTTCTACCATAAAAGAAGACAATTATTCAAAATTATTACAACAAATACAAAAGGACATGGAAAATTGGGCTAAATTACAATTATCACCGATGGGAAGAATTGCAACCATAAAAATGAATATCTTACCAAAAAATTTATTTCTATTCCGAAGTGTACCAGTAAAATTAGGGATTCTTTTTTTTTTTTTTTTTTTTTTTGGTGGAACTAGAAAATAATTCTAAAATTTATTTGGCTGGGGAAAAAAGCTAGGATAAAATTCAAATTACTACAGGACTTTAGAATTAAAGGAGGATTTGGCCTCCCAGATTGGGAGCTTTATTATAAGGCAGCAGTGGTAACAATCTGGCTCAAAGAATGGATAATATTTCAAAATAAAAGAATATTGACGATAGAGGGTCATGATTTACAGGTGGGCTGGCATGCTTTTATCTGGGAGGGAAAGAGTAAAGCCCATAAATATTTTCAGAGGCATCAGGTAAGAGGAGCCTTACTAGAAATATGGAGGAAAATCAAAATAAACTTCTACACAAAAATACCCACATTAATATCAACCATGGAAGCAATTATCTATACCAATGTAATAGATTTGAATATGATATTGACATATAAGGAGTTATTGGATGGGCAAGGAAAACTTAAAAAAAATCAGGAGTTAAAATTACAGGGAATTGAATTAGGCTGGTGGCCATACCTACAAATTCTAACAAGATACAAAAAGGACTTAGAACAGTACGGATTTCAAAATGAACAACAAAATAGTAAGAGGAACAGAAGAAAAAATAATTACAATAACATACAATTGTCTTTTAAAATTCAAAATGGAGGAGGAAACCGTGAAGGGCTAAAAATTTTGGATATAATATTGAATTGGAGCACTGGGAAAAAGTATGGGGAAAAATTATAAATTGACTGTCAGCATCTTATAAGGAAAACATTTACAAAATGTTGTATAGGTGGCATTTATCCCCGGTGAGATTGGCCAAAATGTTCCCAAATAGATCTCCAAACTGTTGGAAATGTAACCACCAACAGGGAACCTTCTATCATATGTGGTGGACGTGTCCGAAAGCCAAAGAATTCTGGACCAAAATTCAAAAATGTTTACAAGAAATAATAGAACAAAAAATTGACATGAACCCTGAGCTGTTTTTTCTAGGAATAATAATAAAAAAAAATTTAGTAAGGATATCCAATATA